TCACCCAAATTCTTTTTTTTTCCTGAAATTTAAACTACCAAAACTACTTTGTATGTGTATTGATTTGTCTGATAAATAAAAGTCCAACTGATTATGACTCTCAACATTTTTCATACTTTTGTATGAAAGTTTGTATTCTGAAGGTAGAAGCCTATACTGTGCTGTATACTAAGTTACTTCGGATGTGTCTGACTCTTTGAGACCCCATGGACTGTAGCTCACCAGGCTTCTCTGTCCATAGGATTCTCTAGGAAAGAACACTGGAATGGGTTACCATTCCCTTCTCCAGGGGATCTTCCCAACCCAGGGATCACACCCATGTCTCTTATGTCTCTTTCTTTGGTAGGCAGGTTCTTTATCACTAGCAACACTTGGGGAGCCCTTACTATTGTCATTTTAATGTAGTTTCTCTTTCAATAATATTTACTGAAATTTAAAATCAGTTTTGTAGCAATATTTATGGTAGATATTCTCTATTCCATTTTTAAGGTGCTTGAGTGTCCCTTTATAATGCTTCAGTCCCTTTAAGATAAAATCTCTAGTTTTAAATTGTAATATTATCAAGTAATTTCATGTTTTTATTCCAAAATTACTTTCTCATAGCAAAGAAACCAAAAAGTAGAAAACTGGAAGTCAAGTCCCCTCACAGACCAGGGGTAAGTGTTCTTTGGTGCCTCAGATGGTAAAGAACCTGCATGCCCAGGAGACCTGGATTCAATCCCTAAGTCAGGCAGATCCCCTGGAGAAGGGAATGGCTACCCACTTCAGTGGAGAATTCCATGGATGGAGGAGACTGGTAGGTTACTGTCCATGGGATCACAAAGAGCTGGACACTACAACTAAGCGACTGATACTTTCACTTTCAGGGTGAAGTGAGTTAGATGCCTGGGTACAAAATTTAAGGAGACACTATCTCAGGGTGCTTCCTTAAACCTGTAGCATAGGTGCCTCATTCACCTCACCCAGATCTGGCCTTGTTTTCTTAAACTCACTTCAGTACAGAGAAGACACTACTGCTGATGGTTTCCTGTCTCTCTTTCCAGGAAAGTGTTTGTGGTTGCGTGTATATGTGTGTATGTGTGTGTGTTTCCTAAATATTGATACTTAGGATCATTGCTGTACCACTCCTCATTGCTTCACACTTAGAATGAGGGTTGTCCACTCACTTCAATAAATATTAATTAAAACACCTACTGTTCTGGGCCTTTCATTGTTGTTGTTGTTGTTGTTGTTTAGTCACTAAGTTCATGTTCGGCTCTGCAACCCCATGGGCTCTAGCCTGCCAGGCTCCTCTGTCCATGGGCTTTCCCAGGCAAGAATACTGGAGTGGGTTGCCATTTCCTTCTCCAGATCTTCCTGACCCAGGTGTTGAACGCTAGTCTCCTGCACTGGCAGGCATATTCTTTACCTCTGAGCCACCAGGGAAGCCTGTTCTAGGCATTTACACAACCCAAAGAGTGAATGAACATGAACATGCTTCAGTCTTCCTAAGCATCGCATGCTATTTCATTGTCTAGATGCACCATAATGGTTTTAACCAGTCTGGTATTGATGATATCTAAGTATTTGTTGTCACAAACTATACTTTTGTTAACATCCTTTTTTATGTATTTTTCTGCAATGAAGTGAATATACCTGTAGGAGAAATTCCTGAACATAGAACTGCTGAGTCAAAAGGTGTGTCTGATCATTGATAGGTATTATCAAATTGCCACCCCCAAATGTTACTCTAATTCATAACCCTAAAGTGTAGATGAATAGTAAGATGCACTGATAATGCATCTTAGCAATCTTTTCATTATTTGCCTCTCTAAAAGGTAAATATTTGTTTTCCATTGTAATTTTAAGTTGTATTTATTTAATCATGAGTGAGTTTAAACATATTTTTATATATTTTTGAATACTTTTATGTGTTTTTTCATTTTTGCCTACTTATTATTTATATGTTCTTTATTTTCTAGTTGATTTGGGAAAGTTTGGGATATATGAAGAATTATTTTTTTTCTGAAATACGCAATGCCAATGTTTTTCTCACTTTATTTTTTAAAAATTTTCTGTGGTAACATTTGTTGTGCAAAAGGACTTAATTTTTTAGTAGTCCATTTCAATTGTGCTTAGCCATCATATTTCATGTCAGGAAGACTTGCCCACTCCAAGATGGTAATAACATTTAAAATTTTCTTCTGATACTTTTGTTGTTGTTTAGATGTACATTTTTTACATGTGTGATTTATTTTGATACAAAGGATGATGCAGAAAATTAAGCATAATGTTTTTCTCAAATAGCTATTAATTTGTCCCTGTATTTTTCAAAGTAATTCACTTTTTCTTCACTAATTTAAAATCCCCAAGTTTATCATAATAAATTCACCCTTCTTTTACTTTATTTCTAGTATCACTATCTATTGTATTGCTGGGTTATTGCATGCTTTAATTTCTTTTTTCTTATAATTGCTTTTTAATGTTCTTTAAAGCAAGCTTATCTTCATTACTTTTTTATAGTTGACACAATAATTTTTTACATTGTCTTTAATATCATTTTTCAAATTCCAAAAAAGCATATAAGGACTGTATGCGTTTAGAATAGTACCTGTCACATAGTAAATACTCAATAAATTTTAGCCACTTAAATTAATTGTCCAATGAAGTAAGACCTTTCTGGACCTTGAGAAGATGGTGACATTTTCATTGTCTCCACTCACTCTGCACTTGGATGTTGCTTGAATTCTCTACTCTCATATATTCAACCATAGCAGAATGCATGCAGCTGTCATTAGAAGTTACTTTTATTGTGGTGCTCTCCAGGGCTGTTAGGACTTTCTCCTATGCTCATTTCACAAAGCACCAAAAATTATTGTAACAATTGTTTTTCCTAATATGCACTTTTACTAGGATTCTTCCCATATGTCCAAGGGTCTTGTACCTGGGGCAAACATACACACTCCTGCAAGGATTCTCTCTTCTTCTTGTCCAGTTATTTTAAGAGTGGTAAAGCAATGGTGGGACTTCCCAGGTGGTACTAGTAGTAAAGAACCTGCCTGCCAATGCAGGAGACATAAAGAAACTTGGGTTTGATCCCTGGGTCAGGAAGCTCCCCTGGAGAAGGAAACAGCAGCTAACTCCAATATTCTTGCTTGGAGAATCCCTTGGACAGTGAGGCCTGGCATGCTACAGTACCCATGCCAGACAGCAATGCTTTTAATTTTGTTTTAATTTTTGTTGGAATATAATTGATTTACAGTGATGTGTTAGTTTCCGGTGTACAGCAAAATGAATCAGTTATACATATACATATAGCCACACTTTTTTAAGATTAATTTCCCATATAGGCCATTACAGAGTATTGAGTAGAGTTGCCTGTGCTCGGTTCTTATTAGTTATCTATTTTATATATAGTAATGTATATATATATGTCAGCCCCAATCTCCCAGTTTATCGCCTGGTAACCGTAAGCTTGTTTTCTATATCCATGACTCTATTCCTGTGTTGTAAATAAGTTCATTTGTACCCTTTTTTAAGATTCCATATATAAGTGATATCATATGATATTCACTTTTTTCTGTCTGACCTACTTCACTTAGTATGAAAATCTGCAGGTCAGTCTATGTTGCTGCAAATGGCATTGTTTTGCTCTTTTCTATGGCTGAGTAATATGGTGTATGGGCTTCCCTGGTTGGCTCAGCGGTAAAGAATCTGCCTGCAGTACAGAAGATGCGGATTTGATTCCTGGGTCAGAAAGATCCCCTGGAGGAAGAAACACAACCCACTCCAGTATTCTTGCCTGGGAAATCACATGAGCAGAGGAGCCTGGCAGGCTACAGTCAAGAGGTCTCGAGGATCAGAGACGACTTAGCAATGAAATTACCACCAACCAATATAATGTAAATATGTACACATCTTCTTCATTCATTCCTCTATTGATGGACATTTAGGTTGCTTCCATGTCCTGACTATTGTAAATAGAGCTGCAGTGAACATTGGAGGTGCATGTATCATTTCAAATTATGGTTTTCTCTGGGTATATACCTAAGAGTGATATTGCTGGGTCATATGGTAGTTCTACTTTTAGATTTTTAATAAACCTCCATATTGTTCTCCAGAGTGACTCTTCTTTAGTTATATTCTTCAGACCCCTGAAGTTATAGTTAAAAGCCTTAAGGATCATTTCAAAGGGTCATAGAGCAGGGCTAATGGAACTCCAAGACTCCCTTGCATTTTCAGCCACAACAGTTCTTTATGTTTCAAGAAATACTTCATTGAGACAAATGATGAAAAAAATTTTTTTTATGTTTATCTATTTGTCTGGCTGTATCAGGTCTTAGTTGCAGCATGCAAACCCTTAGTTGCAGCATGTGGGATCAAGTTTCCTGACCAGGGATTGAACTCGGGTCCCTTGTATTAGGAGCAAGGAGTCTGCACCACTGGACCAGTAGGGAAGTCCCCAGTGAAATTGTTTTTAAAATAAAGTTTGGGGAGGGGAGAACAAGGGAACGGAGAGACTCCTATCCTATACTCCCTAGTAGTATAGGCCGGGGTTTCTCAGCATCAAGATTATTTATTCTGGGGACTACATGCTTCTTCCTTGCAGGTGGCATATTCTGTGAGCTATAGGGTTACAGCAACAGCTTTGGCCTCTAGCTCGTAGCAATCCTCACACAACTGTAACAGAAGAAAATATCTGCGGACATGCATGGTTGGCAAAACTGTCCCCAGGTATAGATCATACCTTGGCATCGTGAGGCTGTTTTAGCGGGTGCATGAAGCACCTTGTATCTTCCTTCAATTTGACAAGTTTGCTGTTGATAACAAGTTATGTTTTTCAATCCATTCTATCAGACTTTAGTTAATAGACATTTCCTCCAGGCTCTACTCAGTTCAGTTCAGTTCAGTCACTCAGTCGGGTCCCACTCTTTGTGACCCCATGGACTTGGGCACACCAGGCTTCCCTGTCCATCACCAATTCCTAAAGTTTACTCAAACTCATGTTCATAGAGTCAGTGATGTCATCCAACCATCTCATCGTCTGTCGTCCCCTTCTCCTTCTGCTTTCAATCTTTCCAGCATCAGGGTCTTTACCAATGAGTCAGTTCTTCACATCAGGTGGCCAAAGTATTGGAGTTTCAGCTTCAGCATCAGTCCTTCCAATGAACATTCAGGACTGATTTCCTTCAGGATGGAATAGTTGGATCTCCTTTCAGTCCAAGGGACTCTCAAGAGTCTTCTCCAACACCTCAGTTAAAAAGCATCAGTTCTTCAGCACTCAGCTTTCTTTATAGTCCAACTCTCACATCCATATATGACTACTGGAAAAACCATGCCTTTGACTAAATGGGCTTTTATGGGTAAAGTAATGTCTCTGCTTTTTAATATGCTATCTAGGTTGGTCATAGTTTTTCTTCCAAGGAGTAAGTGTATTTTAATTTCATGGCTGCAATCACCATCTGGAGTGATTTTGGAGGCCCCCAAAAATAAAGTCTTCACTGTTTCCACTGTTTCTCCATCTACTTGCCATGAAGTGATGGGACCAGATGCCATGATCCTAGTTTTCTGAATGTTGAGTTTTAAGCCAACTTTTTCACTCTCCTCTTTCACTTTCATCAAGAGGCTTTTTAGTTCTTCTTCGCTCTCTGCCATAAGGGTGGTGTCATTTGCATATCTGAGGTTATTGATATTTCTCCCTGAAATCTTGATTCCAGCCTGTGCTTCATTCATCCAGCCCAGCATTTCACATGATGTACTCTGCATATAAGTTAAATAAGCAGGGTGACAATATACAGCCTGATGTACTCCTTTCCCGATTTGGAACCAGTCTGTTTTTCCATGTCCAATTCTAACTGTTGCTTCTTGACCTGCATAAAGATTTCTCAAGAGGCAGGTCAGGTGGTCTGGTATTCCCATCTCTTGAAGTATTTTCCACAGTTTGTTGTGATCCACATTGTCCAAGGCTTTGGCACAGTCAATAAAGTAAAAGTAGATGTTTTTCTGGAACTCTCTTGCTTTTTTGATGATCTAACAGATGTTGACAATTTGGTTTCTGGTTCCTCTACCTTTTCTAAATCCAGCTTGAACAATTGGGAGTTCATGGTTCACATACTGTTGAAGCCTAGCTTGGAGAATTTCTGAGCATTTCTTTGCTAGCATGTGAGATGACTGCGTTTGTGCAGTAGTTTGAGCATTCTTTGGCATTGCCTTTCTTTGGGACTGGAATGAAAACTGACCTTTTCCAGTCCTGTGACCACTGCTGAGTTTTCCAAATTTGCTGGCAAATTGAGTGGCACTTTCACAGCATCATCTTTTAGGATTTAAAATAGCTCAACTGGAATTCCATCACCTCCACTAGCTTTGTTTGTAGTAATGTTTCCTAAGACCCACCAGGCTCTATTAGATTTAGTCATTGAGTGTTTAGGACAGAGGAATGGTTAGGACAGAGGAGCCTGGTGGCTGCAGTTCATTGTGTTACAGAGTCGGAGACGACTGAAGTAATTTAGTACACATGCAGGTTAAGAAAACTGCATTGAGTCCTCCAGTGTAATAGCATTTAACACTGGCCTTCTTGAAGACTTTAAATTGTAAGTTACTGTCATAGTCATAAGAAAATGATTAGTTAATGATGAACAGCGAATAAACATAAATCAAGCAATGTCTTCTCACTAGTGGGTTTCAGCCTCCAGTAGCCCATGAAAACATGCATAAGAATTGGTCCCTGGGAGCTGATACCTTGAATAAGTCTTTGCTTTACTTTTATTTTTTCTCATTTAACCACTTTGATTTCTCTGACATTTCACTTGCTCTGTGCTCACACTTTGGAAACACTGCTGCTGCTGCTGCTAAGTCACTTCAGTCGTGTCCGACTCTGTGGGACCCCATCCCTGGGATTCTCCAGGCAAGAACACTGGAGTGGGATGCCATTGCCTTCTCCATTGGAAACACTACCAGCTTTCAAATCTTTGTTTTGGTCCTCCTGTTCCTAGCCACCAATGATTCTTATTTTATAATATCTGTTTTTAAAGAATCAGGACTGTCAATTTTGAAGAAAAGATGATATTTTATTTCATTTTCAAATGGCTCATAACTGAAAAAAGAACATTATTTGAAAAATTTCCTCTTCTAAGACATAATTTCCTTCCAAAAAATATGAACATTCAGCCAGTAATGCGTTGTGGTTATTTCTTTTAGGAAATCAAATAAGTAGGTGTTTGCTAATATGATTATGTAATAAGAAATATTTAAAGTTGAAAAATAATTTCTGCTTTCTCTTGGCAGTTTATTAATTCCATAGCTGGCATGTGATAATGGGGAGAAATGTACTTACTATGCAAGTTATAATCAGGTGTCAAAGTTAAAAAATAAGTGACCTTATAAACCAAATTTTTAGATTGTAATTTGCCAGTTATTTTTAAACTGGTCATTGTTTCTTTCAAATTATCACTGTAAGAAGGGTTAACTATTATAATGAGAAATTCCAGTCTTGGTTTAAAAGTGTTCAAAGAAAGTTGAAAACTTGAAAATCAGATGCAAATGGTTGGTTGAGCAGCAGGTAAGTGTAGAATCAAACAAATAAAAGTCTTCAAGAATCTCCTGGAAATGTAAGTGATAAAAGCCTATGGATTTGGAATTGCTGCACCTGAATTCACATTTGCCAAATTCTGCAAGTGTTATTGTTGACTGTAACTCCACCCAGCCATACCCGTAATGTGAAGAAGTTACCAGATGCCTTCTTTCTTCATTCCTCCCACGTCATAGATACCAACACAACCCAGAAACCTTCACCAGCCTTAGGCTTAGAAGATTTGAGTTCATTTTCTGATGTTCTACCCCCTGCAATTTACTTGAGTAAGTTCTTTTACTGCTCTGAGCCCATCTTAGCTGTGTGGCTCTCACCTGTCATAATTCCTTGACTGCAGCCAAACAGGATTCTAGAATACTGGCTTTAGGGTCCATGTGAAGCCCCCTCATCTGGGTTTAGGACTAGTGTGTGAGCACGCCTCCACTTATGCCCTGATAGGAGTCTGCCTGCAACTCATAACATCAAACTGAAGGCCTGCCTCTGAAACCGTCACAGACTGGGAAGTGCCTAGAAATATGAACATTCACTACCTAAAGCAATGACACTGGTAAAGTGTGCATTCCTTCCTTAACCCATACAACAAGTACTGACTAAGCACCTACTAGGTGCCAGGCAATCCTCTAAGCCCCAGGACTAAAGCGGTAAGTAATATGGTCAGCGTCCTTGATCCAAGGGATCTTACCCTCCAGTGAGGAGCAGAGACGAAAGACAAAGAAACAACCAAGAACAGCATTGTTCTATAACTTAAACCATGCTTCTAAGATTGAAAAACAGCTGTAGCATGAGATAAACAGCAGTGATCTTGGACGCAAGAGACCTGCACTTGTATGCCAATTTATTCTTGTTTTGTTTTGTTTTGTTTTGAATTAATTTTTTTTGGAGTATAGCTGCTTTACAATGTCGTGTTAGTTTCTATTGGACACCAAAGTGAATCAGCTGTATGTATACATACATCCCCTCGTTTATGGGTTTCCTTCCCATTTAAGTCACCACAGAGCACTGAGGAGGTTCTCACTAGTTATCTATTTTATACACAATAGAGTCTGCCTGTCAAACCCAATTTCCCAGTTCATCCCACCTTCCCCTTCCCTCCTTGGGGTCCCTACACTTGTTCTCTTCATCGGTGTCTCTGTTTCTGTTTATTCCCCTTTTAGCTGAATCATTTTAAGTAGATGACAGATTCTAATTTCTGATCCTGTTTCCTCACATGCAAAAAAAAAAGGAATCATCATATACATTTTTTTGTTAGAATTAACTGATATAAGGCTGAAACAACCTCTTGCAATAAAATATTGAAAAAGAAAAAAATATTTATAAGGTTAAAGTTGTCTTCAATAGCACATTCTTTTTCAGCACTATGTCTTCTTTTAATTGTCCTTTATGATTAGTGAACAATTCAAAAATACACAAAAGTACAGAATTCTTCCTCTTGCCTAATGTAAAATGCATCCTGATGTTCTGTTAATTTTAGCAGAGCACCAGTAGGCAATGCAGAATGACACAGGCTCAGGGCCAGGAAAGAGGTGGCTAAATCCCAAATTAAATACAGATGATCCCATCTCAACTGTTAGCATTTTGAGGCACAAACCTCAATACCCTGATATTAGACTGAGATTCCAAAGCTTGATATTTTCATATGTTTCTTTGAAATGGATGCAACCACTTTAAAAAATGCCAAAGAAATTTACTACACATAATGAAGTTTAAGGGTGGAAATATTAAATGTCAAGCCAAATGTTTGCACTTCAGTCTGAAATCTGACAACATAAAATAGAAAATATTATAAATTAGAATTCAATTTGGGGACTACCAATTTTGCTCCATTAATTGTGTTCATTTGACAAGATGCAGTCTGTTTTTTATTTTTTTAATGAGCATTATATAAGGATGTTTTATCTAACTTGATATATCACATCATCAATGGGGATATGTGTAGTCCATTGATGCAGGAACATATATTTTTACTATAATATTTCTATGCCTCAGCTTGTCTCCCAAAACTCAGATGCATTTTACCAACTGCCTTAATTTCTCTGCCTGAATAATTCACTGGCATATTAAGTTCAGCAAATTCAAGTGGCCTTTTCTAACTTCTCTAGCAGGAGATGAATAATTTCTCTCTTCTGGGCTTTCTTTACCACTGTTTATGTCTCTTAATTTTGTTTTACTTCCATCAAACTTCCTAATACATAAATGTTGTTTTGTCCTTAATAAATCTAAGAGCTTCTCAAGAATAATTATCTTGACTTTTATCTTTGAACCCCAAAAAAGTTCAGGTCAATGCAAATGAATACTCAAAAAAATTTTTGTTGAACAAAAAGAATGAATAAATAAGTGTGTAGAAAATGCACACATTTATATAACTTCCTCATGACTTGTTTAAAGAACTGGTGTAACATCTTTGGTCTGCTTTAAAAGGAAGACTTTAAATTTTCTAAACAGATTTTATTGAATTAAACCTTTGGTACTAGAGAATAAATATCAGAATTTGGTTTTAGAAGATAGTCATAATAAAAATCTTATGATACATCAA